GCGAGAATAGTGCGCATTTCTGACTGCTCAGCCTTCTCCCCAGGGCTCCCACATCAACGCTTTACCAAGCACGGCTTGGATACAGATGAACGAAAAACTAAAACACAAACCATGACCTAGGGAGAGTTCTATTAATAATACCAGGCCTCTTTGCTCATTTCTGTGGTTTTATAATTATCCAATCAGCAAATAATAAGATCAGTTATTTTATGCAAAGGAAAGTTTTACATTGAAAAAAGGAATTTGCCATGTTCAAAACAATATTAGAAATCACTATCCTGGGAAATAAAGCCCAAATTCCTTAAGATCATATACAATAAACTCAGCCCATGGTCTGATTTCAAGGCGAATCTCTCTTACACACCTCTGCGGTTTTTAACTGAGTATTATACATTAGAATCTCTCCTTTTATTAGTCTTTGATATGCTCTCAATGTATAACAATGCTCTAAAAGTGTGCTAAATTAGCAGTCTCTTGGAGATCAAATAATTATTGTACAGAGATGGAGTTCATCCTTTATATGTACCATCTGTTTCTGGATTTTTGTTGTTGTTTGGGTTTTTTGAGACAGATTTTTGGTTTTTCGTTTGTTTTTTGTCTCTCTGTGTGTAGCCCTGGTTGCCCTGGCACTCCCTTTGTAGACCTGGTTGGCCTCGAACTCAGAGATCTGCCTGCCTCTGCCTTCGAGTGCTGGGATTAAAGGCGTGTGCTGCCACCACCACCCGTGTTTCTGGATAATTCAACTCCACTATTTCTTCATAAAGTAATGCCACAGAGGATGAAATTTTTCCTAATAGTCCTCTAACGACCTTTATATAGAACGAATTGCAACTTGGTTCTCCCTTGTCATTTATGCCTCTATAAAGTATTAGTTACCACTAAACACTGGAGACTTGATGAAGAATTAGTCCTCCAGGGTCATAATATAAGACTTTGGTACACACCAGCATCTCACCCCTTAAGTATATAAGACCGGGGGGAAGGAAGGAGGGCGTTGCCAAGAATTTGAAATGGACCTGGGCTTCATAGCAAGTTGCTAAGAATTTGAAATGGACCTGGGCTTCATAGCAAGTACCGGGTCAGCCAGAGTTTACGCAGAAAAGCAAAACAAAACAAAGACGCGCCATAACAAAATAAATAAATCATAAAAATAAAGCGTCTTGGGTTTAGCGCCTATCCTGATAAATGACAACCCAGCCATGGCATTGCCTGCAGTGAACAGGCAGTGACGGTCCTTTACCCTGTTGGGCATGAGCTCCTATTCGATAAAAAACGACGCTGCAGAAGCTAAATCGCCTAAGGTGTCTAGCGAGGGAGGTCTCGGGAGGGCAAGCCCCGAGGGCACCGCGGGTCTCCCATCCTCAGCGCCCCCACCCCTCCACTCGGGCCACTCACGTTCAGCAGTCCTGCGCCCTTGCTCTTGCCTTTGCTCTTGCCCTTTTTCTCCTTGTCCTTCTCTTTGTCCGAGGCCACTTGCTTGGCTTGTTCGTCGGCATAGCGCACGGAGGAGACGGTGGATCCTCTGCGCTGCTGCGCGGTGGCATCCGGAAGGAGGAGGGCGTTCTTCTGGGGCATGGAACTGGGCAGCATGGACCCGCCTGGCACACTGCTCGGGATGGAAGACTTGCGGGCATCAGGCAAGGCGTGGGGCTTCGGGGAGCCAATGGAGGAGACCATAGACGAGCGGGCGGGCATCATGCTATGGGCGGTGGAAAACCTGTGGGGTGTCTCTTGAGGGTTACTGATGGAAACCCTCCGGTTTCCCGGAGGAGGCAACTCCATTGTTACATTCTCTTCAGGGCCCTATTAGCCACTAACCCAACCGCTGTTTGCTGCGCACGCATGCGCGCGCGCGCGCGCGCGCGCAGCTGCCTTTCCCGCGCTTTTACGGACCACGTGCAGAACGCCGGGGCTGCAGGGCAGGGAGGTCTCCTGGGTTTGGAGGTGTGGATTTTGCAAGCTGGACCATCTGCTCTGGTTCTCATCAGGCAGTTCCTGTTTCCTCCGGAAGTCAGAGCTTGCTGGTGGGCAACCTCCTCCAACTAATGTATTATTTTTCTAAATAGTACTTTTGTCTTAGGAGCCCGCCTCTCTCCACACCATTTCTTTTAGACTATTAATATCAGATATCACGTTCTGTGCACCAAATGCATATTTCCAGCATCCTACCTGAACACATTTATCTGACCATTCCGCAAACACGGAGCACAGTCGTATACGTTTACCTTACCTCCTGAGCTCTAGTACGCTCCAAATTCATTTGAGGTAATAAGGCCACATTCACAAAAATCTGACCCTTAAAACAATTGTATCCTTGATACAAGAACCCTACTTCCTTTACTGTTCCTATTCTGGGACATCTCTTGTACAGAAAAGTACAATGATTTACTCTATGGTTTCCCAGCCTGACTCATCAATTCCTTCTGCTGCCTCAGAATCAGAATAATTTAACCATCGTACACAAAGCAAGCCAAGAAGTTTCCAGAACTTTATTGGCCATTTAACATTTAAAGATATCTTTTAAAGGTGGCTCTAAGGCACATGGGATGTTTGTTTTGTTTGTTTTTGCTTTGCTTTTCAATACAGGGTTTCTCTGTGTGACCTTGGCTATCGAAGAACCTGCTCTGTAGTCCAGGCTGGCCTTGAACTCAGAGATCTGCCTGCCTGGAATCGAAGGTGTGCGCCCCTGTTGGCCAGCTGCACATTGGGCTTTTAAAAATATAAAGCATTTTAAATATTAAATTTTAAATAATAAAAATTTTAAATAAAACATGTTAAATGTTTAAATATCTCAGAGTCATTATTTATTGCTATAATATTGGAAATGTAGTCTTTTAGGCAAGAGGGAGCTCAAAAGTCACCGTTAGGGAATCTCTACCACTAAAAACTCCATTTTGCACAGCACCTGCTCGCATCCAGTCTCACCTAGAGCCTTTTCTAGATTCTTCACTCCTATCTCTAAGTAGATGAAGACCCTCCAGACAGCAGACAGTATGTTTGCCCTGGGCTCTCATACACGTCCCAAAGGACAATCAGCTGCTGTCTCCCACCTGCTGCCTGGCAGGGCCCTCAAGGCAGGCTCCCACCAGCAGCTGCCATCTCCAAAGGCAGAACTGGTTAGGAACAAGAACTCGGTCCCTGCCTTTCCCTTTCAGGCTGCATGGCACAAAACCCCAAGCCCCTTAATTCCTAAGTGATGCCCGTGTGGGTCTCTGCTGCAGTGTTTAATCTCCACTCCTGCGTGACGTGTCTTTGCAGCTCATTCTGACTTCATAAGGGCTCACGTAATGCAGCACTAAGTATACCTAGCACCATAGATAATGTGATCTTGGGGCTTTTGTTTTGTTTCTCGATGAGAGATGGTTTTATTTGTACTCTTACTACTGGGTGGTGGTGACACACACCTTTAATACATTAACAGCACTCGGGAGACAGAGGCAGCCGGCTGTAAAATGGAGCCAATGTCCAGCTGGCCAATGGGGGCACACCTTCCATTCCAGGCAGGCGGATCTCTGAGTTCAAGACCGGCCTGGTCTACAGAACAAGTTCCTGGACAACCAAGGGATCACAGTTCAGACGTGATGAATCTCAGCTCAACTTCCCGGCAGCTGCTGCAGAGCAGAGGCCTACACTCCTGGCTGCTGCCAATCACAGGGACAACTAAGACGGACAGGACAGTCAGCACTGCCTGTAGAGTCACAATAGAGTCCCACTGTTCTGCCACTCTGGCCTTACAGACAGGAAGAGACATTTTTAGTGGGGTGCTTGTACCAAATACAGACCAGTCCTCGGGGACAAACACCTCAATTATCAGTCTGCTGATCATCTTCTATACAACGTTCAGTCGTGTGCTAATCAGAGAGGTCCGACAGTTCCAGAGACATGTCCAAGCCTTTGAGACACTTTCTCTTTTTTAATTTTTATTTATTTATCATGTTTACCTGCCTGTATGTACGCCTGCAGACAAGAAGAGGGCGCCAGATCTCATTACAGATAGGTGAGAGCCACCATGTAGTGGCTGGGAATTGAACTCAGGACCTCTGGAAGAGCAGCCAGTGCTCTTAACCATGGAGCCATCTCTCCAGCCCCCACTTTCTCTTCTTAAGGTCTCCCCATTGACGTACGTTATAGGGGCTCACAGGCAACAGCTGAAGAAAGATTTGAAGTGTGTGAAAACAGCCTTTTCCATGTGGAATTTCCCAAAAACCTGAAGATATCTGACAGAGAGTTTGAGAATGAGAATGGTGAACTTTCGCCCGTGTTTCTTGTGGCTCAGAAAAAGAACCAGGACCCTGCCACCTCAGCATTCAAGAGGTTGGGGAAGCAGGATCAGGAGTTTGAGGTCAGTCCGGGATACACAGCGAGACCCTTTCTCATCAAACAAACAGAAACACCACGGGGCTAAAGATGCGAACCAGTGGCAGAGCACCTGCCTACCAGAATGAGACTCTGGGTTTGCTATCCGCCAACTGTAAAAAGGCGGGAGAGGGTGGGGGGGAGAGGACCGGGGGATGGGGGGGGGGGGGGCAGGGGAAGACACTCCACAGGGGTTAGCCCAAAATCACAGGGCTGAGCTGAGTCATGGCTCGGCTTCTCTTTTGCTATGTTCGAGTTTATCGCTGCTGCTTTTGGTTTCTGAAAAGGGCTCTAGTGTAGCCCAGGCTGGACTCAGACTTGCTAACAGTGGACGGTGGCCCTGGCCTCCTGATTCTCCTGCCTTCACTTCCAGCCACACAATACTACTCCCAGCCCTTATAGCTATTCTTCCAAAGCTCCTACAGATCCTGACATGCAGCCGCACAAGAGAACAACTGCCACAGATTTTATTTTATTTTAGTTTAGTTTAGTTTTTCGAGACAGGGTTTCTCTGTGGCTGTGGAGCCTATCCTGGAACTAGCTCTGTAGACCAGGCTGGTCTCGAACTCACAGAGATCCGCCTGCCTCTGCCTCCCGAGTGCTGGGATTAAAGGCGTGCGCCACCACCGCCCGGCCTGGCACAGGTTTTAAAAGAGAAAAATAAAACTTTTAAAAAGCTTTTCAAACAGAAATATATCTGTTTTATTAGCCATAAAGAAAAATATCTTTCAATTCAAATTATAATTATTACATGATACGCAGATTCAGAAAACACAGATTTTATACTGTAGTGTGTTCAATAAGGAGACTAAAAAATACAAAATGAAGGTGTTTCCCCTTCCACCCTATTCTCTACATTTACATTGAAACGTGATGTATATTTTGTAACACTGAAGTTATGGCTTTTCTAAATTGGTGCTTTTTATTATGATTATTAATATAGCAAATTTGAGAGAACAGGATCAAACACTTCCCCCTGCTTTTTTAGCCCATTATCTCCTGTATCGCTAAGGTGGCAGACAATACTATAGAAATTAATGCTGGGTATAAAGACCAGGTACGATTTAAATGTTTTTCATAATCTTCACAAGTCTTTCAGCATCATATAACAAAAGCTCAATTGCACACACACACACACGCACGCACACATCTTATAAAAACAAGAGCGAGGAAGTGCGTTCTTTGCTGCAGAGACGGTGTTGGCACTATGAAGACGCCTGGATTCCCCTATCAGGGTACTCTTCCACGTCAGAGAAGAACATCAGCTCTGGAGAAGAAAATGAACATACCACACTTTAAACACTTTCCCAGTCTTCAAAAAAGAGTCTTGCGGCTTAATAAATACTGATTTGTGCGTGGTAACGCAGAGTCCTCATGTATGAATTCTTTAGGGAGGCTTCTCTTATCTAAATGCTAAGCTGGCAGCAAGTGGACACGTTTTATATTTTTAGAAGTTCAAGTTTTAAATTCATTATAAACATCTTAAAAATATAATACAATATAGACAACGAAACACATCTTACCAAGAAAATTAAGTCACCTAGGCAGTCCAGGATCACTGAAGATGATCTAAGTCTATCAGGTAATTTAAGACGCAGGGGAGGAGGATTCAGAGCTAATGTTGGGTGTCTACTAAAATACCTCGAATATGTGATCCCATTTCATCTCCAAGAGACTCAATAAGCTGGGTATTCCCCTCATTTTGTTTTTGCTTTTTAAGTTTACCATCCTTCAAAGACAGCAGCCTCTAAAATTCTTGCTGTGCACCATGCACACTGTAACCGAGACAGAACCTGCACAAGCCGGCCAGATGCGGCATCAGTCTCAGCAACACCGGAGCGCAGGGAGTTCGCATTTTCATGACTGAACTAGTGAACAGTGTTTCACACAGAAACATATTATTAAAATGTCAAGAAATAGAGAAAAATTAAACCTTGAAATACAAAAATAAAACTCCTTTGACATAAACCATTAGATACAAAAATTCTTCGAATGAACAAAAAACATACCTCGTGAGAAAAAAAAACAGCAAAGTACACTGAGTGCAATGTCATTGTGTATCAACACGTGTGTAGTGTACACATGTTCACGAGTGTGTGCATGTTGAGGTGCACACACATGCAGAAGCTGGCAGAGGATGTCAGCATCTTCCCCTGCTGCTCTCCCCTCACTGGAGCTCATCAGTTTGGTTAGGTGGCAGACATGAGGTAACCACGGTGCTCACGTACGAACGGATGGCAATGGGGAGGCCCTGTCAAGCAGCACAGTGTCCAGCAAAGCGCCAAGTGTTCCTGGAGCTTTTGCTGACGATCAGCTGTCTGCTAAGGGGAGCTCCCCTGTGGGTGTTCCGAAAAGAGTCACGGGTCTAGAGATTGGTGACTTCACTGGGCACTGGGCACACTGAGGGTAAAATAAGAACGAAACAAGACTCTGAGCCAACGACTCGCTTGTGCGTGACAGAGGCGATACTAACGAGCGTGACGTCATCAAGTGAAGAAGGCTGAGCAGGACCCGAGCGCTCCGAGAAGGCACACGGGCCGCATGCGCAGAAGGCTGAGGCCCCTCACTAAGTGTTCCCAGGCTCCAGCCCTCTAGGCCCTCCTCCCTGTTTGCTCCACCATCCTGAGTCCTTGTCATTTTCATTGTCCTTCTAAACATTTTATTTTAAATGTCTTTGTTATTAAAGCATTATTGGAAGACTTCTAAGATGAGGAAAGAAATTTCAGAATACTTCTATCTTTGTATTTTAATACCTTCACTAAGATCCATGGCTGGTCTGTGAGACAAAAAGAGCCAGGATAACCCAACCAGAAGGGCCACTACCAGGTTCACGATGATCCACGGCACAAGAATCTGCTCCTCGGTTTCTGCTGCCCTGGGGAAAAGAGAGGCTCATCAGAAACGCCTTCCTTTTTGCTCGCACGTCCAAATGTAATGATTTTATGAACTTCTAAAAAGTGCCCTCTCATAGAGAGATCCCAAGTGTGAAATAAAGTCTGAGTCTCCTAAAACAGACAGAAAAAAGACCTTAGAACACGTCTGAAGAGTCTAAAGAGCTCTCTGTAGATTAGCAGAGATGAAAAGTTGGATTCCCCTCAAGTCCTGACTATTTCCCCTACAACACCATGGCAATCTCCCCCACTTGACCATCCTCTCCTTCTGTCTTAGCCCACCACACCCACGCTCTCAGAATAGACTGGGATTCCAGCACCCTGCCACCCCCGCAGCTGGCTGCTCATCTGAAGATGCTGGCTCCCCCGTATTCTCTTCCTAGAGCAACTTGCTCAGTTCTTGGCCTCTATTCTGGCCACCCAGTGTCCACCACTGCTCTGTGGTCTTGAGGGCTCCGTCAGGGGTAAAGGCACAGGGCACCTCCAACCCACTACACGATGGCTCACAGAGTTAAACATACTTCTGAAAAGAACACGGTTCCTTTAAAACTGCAGGTGAGCTGGGTGTGGTGGCTCTGCCTGTGATCACGGCACTTAGGAGGCACAGGCAGTATGATCAGGAGCTTGCAGTTGGCCTCAGCCGAAGAAAGAATTTGAAGCTAACTTGGGCTACTTGATACTACATATCAAGAGAGACAAAAGTAAGGCTATAAAAAGGTCATTATTCACTGGCCAACAAAACGGGCATTTTCTTCTCGTGGTTTTATTACAAATAGAAACATGGCCTGGTTGTGATCTATGTATGAAAATGTGGAGAAGTACCATAGCAACTGGTAACACCTGTGTGATTCTTACCAGAGGCTCCCGTTAACAGGCGGCGTGTACAGGTGGATCCTGTCACTTGTCATCTGCTGACTCAGAGACAGTACTAGAGCAGCAAAGTACACTGGGAAGAAAAACAAAGGCCAAATCACAGCAGTTTTACTTCCTGTTGACACGGGTGTACAGGCTCTTTACGGTCAGAGTAACCCACGCTTGGGTGACAGACTGCACAGAAGAAGTTCACTTCAACAGGAAGCTTTCTCTTACTGGGCACGGACATGGCACAGAGTGTAACAGGTGAACACTGCTTTATCACTACAGCTGGCAAGAAGGAGCCTAGAATATCTAAGAATTTAGATGACTTGCTCCAGCCACTCAGACTAACTAATACAATTCTTGTAACCCAGAACAAATGTATCACAGATTGCCAGAAACGCAAAGGCCACGCCAACTGTGTCTGCCCAACGACAAGTGGAAAGAACAGGAGCCAGATAACTATGAAGGCCAACACAGCGAACTTTGTTATTTTTGGTGCAGGGAATGAACCCCAGGACCTCACACATAAATTCAACTTCTGAAAATAACTGAAAAACACTTGGAAGCCAGGCATGGTGGTGCATGCTCGCAAATCCCAGCACTCCAGGGAGAGCAAAGAGGACGAGGGGCTCACGGCAATCCTCAACCGCACAGGGAATCCAAGGCCAGCCTGAGCTACATGAGAGAGCCTGCCTCAAAGAAAAAGAAAAGTTCTATCAAAGTTACTCCTATGTTTTAAATTACAATTTCCCTGACTTATAAGTAATGATTCATACAAAGAAATAATATTAAACGTCTGTAAAATACTTTTCTTGATTCAGAACGACAGTAAGAATCCTCAGTTATGACAGTCATCAAGGCAAACTATTACTTACAGAAAGAAGCTAAAGCTGTGGGCTCCAGTGCCAAGAAGTTCCGGATGGCTACTGAGGTTTTCGCAAAGTCGGTCCTGGAATGGAATGAGGATGCTTGTCACTGTGCGCTGTGACTTCCTTCCTTTCCCTCCTCTAGTCGGCTGGCACCAGGCCCACGGTCACCTGCCGGTCTGCAAGTGGAAAGACTGCCTAACCTTCCTTACAAGGCCACATCAAATGTCTAATACTAAGACTATTCAGTATCAAGTCATCATGAAAAAGCAAGCTAACTCTCATCTTCAAAAATCATGAACTTCCTCCTCTTTCGGTAGATCAAGCTACTGTGCTGGTTAGATTTGTCTGCCGACATGAGCTAGAGTCAGCTGGGAAGAGGGCGCCTACTGAGAAGATGTCTCCACAGGACTGGCCTGTAGGCAAGCCGATAGGGCTATGTCTTTGATTAAGAATTGATGTAGGAGGGCCTAGCTTCCTGTGAGCGATGCCATCCCTGTGGTGGGTAGTTCTGGGTTGTAGAAAAAATCAGGCTGAGCAAGCCATGGAGGGTAAACCAGTAAGCAACATTCCTCCATGACCTCTGCTTCAGTTCATGACTCCATGTCCTGCCCTGTGAGTTCCTGCTGTGGGCTCCCCTGGAGGGTACTGAGCCATCTCTCCAGCCCTGCTGATTGCTAACAAAAAAAAAAAAAGGGGGGGGGTCGACTTGTGTTCCCCAGAGTAAGCGGTGACTGTCTAACCCTGGTACTCGTGCAGCTGACGTCACCTGCAAACAGACATAGTTGGTAACACATTCTGCTCACCATCTCTTCCTGGAGACAGGCGGGAAGGAACCATCACACGGCCTTACCTGTCAAAGGCTGACACAGTGCTCAGAGCCAGCAGCAGGTAGAGGAGGCTCTGCAACGGGTACGCCAGGGGCTTGTACTGCTGCAGGAGGTTGGAGAGGCCAGACAGCTCGTCTCCCGCCAGAACATAGATCACGACAATGTTCCACACGGCACAGCCAGCCAGGAAGCCGTGAGAAAACAGACCAATCACCCTGCACGGGAAAAGGTTTAATTATATACCAATCCCTAAAATAAAAAGGTAGAGAATATTTTAAAATCTCTTCACATAAAATACGATTCAACATACATTGAAAAAGAGCAAGTGGACTGTCTATAAAAATAAACCTATAAATCTATTTATTTACCATTATAAATTGTCAATTTTGTTTAAAGTACGGAACAGCAGAGACCTTTCTCTTCTGTTTTAAATGATGAAATCCAATTCACATATGCTTAACGAATGTCAACAAACAGCGTCACCTGAAAGCTCGGTACACTGAGAGGGCCACATCCCGAGTGGTCCAGGACGGCTTCACGTCCATCGACACGTCTATGTTTTCTGTGGTCTTTATCAGCTCCGAACGGTCTGCCGCGTGAAACCTCCCTGGAGGGTAGAGCAGAAAAGACACGATCGCCAGCGTGACGGGGCGTGCCCGCCATCCGGGCACTGGGGAGGCACTGGCAGCAGGCTCACGAGTTCCGGGTCATGGGGCTGCATGAGCCTCTGTCTCAGGAACCACCGAGGGCTGCAGAGATGGCTCCACGGTCACGAACGTTCTTCCTGGGGACCTCTGTTCAGACCCCAGCTGCAACTCCAGTTCCAGAGGGAGCTGGCACCTCTGGCCTCCACAGGGGTTTGCACACGCATCTACACACCCACACACAGAGTCATGCACAAACACATATAAATAATTGAAATAAAATAAGAGGGAAATAAAGGGACCCGGAAGACGGCTATTGAGGTAAGGGTGCTGCCTCGCATCAGCCGACGTCCTAAGCTTGGTCCCTCGACCAACACAGAGGGCAGAATTGAATCCCCAGAGCTGTCCTCGGACCTCACACGCATGTCACTCATATGTACCAAACAAGCACACAAGCGTAAGAAAACTAACAGGAGGGTAGAACTAAGACTGAACTGTTGTTGTTAAATCTAAAAGTTCGCCTTGGATGTAAGTAATTTTTTTTCTTTCACCTTTGGCTGCTTAGACATGCAATTTCCTCATCTTTAAAAAAATAAATAATGCAATGCCAAAAAGTTTTGTTCTCAAGCCAAAGTTGATGTTAAAATAACAGTTTTAGGAATCAACAGTATTTAATGAAATACATCAATAAACTTTCAACTCAGAATTAAACTTAAAAGTCCTTAGCATGACAGTCTATAGAAGTAATTTAGAGACTTTAGGAATATTAAAATTAAAACGTTGGGGACTAGAGAGATGGCTCAGTGGTTAAGAGTTCTGGCTGCTCTTACAGAGGACCTGGGTTCAGTTCCCAGCACCCACATGATGGCTGGTAACCACCCACAGCTCCAGTTCCAAGGATTAGATGTCCTCTTCTGACCTTTGTAGGCACAAGACACACATGTGGTACACAGGCAAAACACTCACACACATAAAAGAAAAAAATTTCCAAAAATAAGTAATTTTTTTAAAATTAAAATGTTTACACTATCAAGGCAAGTGGTTATTTGAAAAATTCTTTAAAATTCTTGGGAAAAGATGCTGGAGAGTGCACAGTCTTCTGTATCCACAGAAAAGATGTCGGAGAGTGTGCACAGTCTTCTGTATCCACAGGAAAGATGCTGGGGTGTGCACAGCTTCTGTATCCACAGGAAAGATGCTGGAGAGTGTGCACAGTCTTCTGTATCCACAGGAAAGATGGTGGAGAGTGTGCACAGTCTTCTGTATCCACAGGAAAGATGGTGGAGAGTGTGCACAGTCTTCTGTATCCACAGGAAAGATGTCAGAGAGTGTGCACAGTCTTCTGTATCCACAGGAAAGATGATGGAGAGTGTGCACAGTCTTCTGTATCCACAGGAAAGATGTCGGAGAGTGTGCACAGTCTTCTGTATCCACAAGAAAGATGTCGGAGAGTGTGCACAGCTTCTGTATCCACAGGAAAGATGCTGGGGTGTGCACAGCTTCTGTATCCACAGGAAAGATGATGGAGAGTGTGCACAGTCTTCTGTATCCACAGGAAAGATGCTGGAGAGTGTGCACAGTCTTCTGTATCCACAGGAAAGATGATGGAGAGTGTGCACAGTCTTCTGTATCCACAGGAAAGATGCTGGAGAGTGTGCACAGTCTTCTGTATCCACAGGAAAGATGCTGGAGAGTGTGCACAGTCTTCTGTATCCACAGGAAAGATGCTGGAGAGTGTGCACAGTCTTCTGTATCCACAGGAAAGATGCTGGAGAGTGTGCACAGTCTTCTGTATCCACAGGAAAGATGTGGGATATTCCATAAGGTTCTCCTGAGACTCAGGAGTGGGACTTCACACTTGCACTGCTTGGGAGGGTTCTTCTAGATGCAACAATCCAGAACTGATCTCAGGAAGCAGGCAATATTCCACCTCAATTATCCTCACAAAACCCATTGCTCAGATGTTTTGAAGAATGAAAGAATAATTCATTTTCTCAAAAAAAAAAAATACTGAATAGCCAACAGAACCCCTCGTGCCTTTTGATCAGTTACTCAAATAGGGAAGTTTTTAGACTAAACGAAATAAGAATAAAATTTCTGGGTAATACTGCTAGAAAAAAGAGGGGAGGGAATGGCCCAGTTGGTAAAATTCTTGCCTTGCAAAGACAAGGATCTGCCTTTGACCCCGAGAGCCTACCTAAAATTGCAAGACATGTTGGCCATGCTTGGAACCCCAACATCCAGAAGCAGAGACAAGACAATCTCTAGGGCCTGAGGGCCAACTAGTCTAGTCTGGTGAGCACCAGCCCAAAGAGAGATCCTGCTTGTTTATTTATTTATTTATTTAAAATATTTATTTATTTATTTATTTATTTATTATGGATACTGTGTTCTGCCCACATACATGCCTGCAGGCCAGAAGAGGGCACCAGATCTCATTATAGATGGTTGTGAGCCACCGTGTCGTTGCTGGGAATTGAACTCAGGACCTTTGGAAGAGGAGGCAGTACTCTTAACCTCTGAGCCATCTCTCCAGCCTGGGAAAACAGTTTAATAACAGTTTTGTGTGTCAATTTTTGTTCATATTTTTAAATATTTCCTTCATTCAGGTCATCGGAACTATACTTACTTACCAGGTTAAAGATATCCTTCTACGATATTTAGAGCAACTGTATTCTAAAATGAGAAATTACTTACGGCTTTTTTCCACAAATACTTTGCCGACAGGCTGGCTGACACCAGTGGGTGCCGTGAACCGAGAATGCTGTTCTAGCGTACGTTGCTCATCCGTAATTATGTCTTCCTCTTCCACGCCTAGCTCATTAGCATACTGTAGTTCTGCTGGCTGGGTTTTCCTGAAATCAGGGGAAGTCTTTGAAAAAATAGATCATCCCTAAAGAAAGACCCACATTAAAAATTACCATGGAAATAATGAAAAGAGTCCTAACTCATGAGCATGAAAATATGCTGTTAACCCAAACACATCTGTATGGACGCAAACTGCCCGTATTTCTGCAGACCTCGATTTTCTCACTGAGAAAATGGTCACTGGCTGGACTCCACTTCTCCTGGCCTAAAGTTATAAAATTCTTAATGTAACCGAAAATTGTTCGCAGAGTCGTTTTTAAGTACAAGCATCAATGTTTTATAACTTCTAGGTATTATTATAAAGTATACTCTTATATTCTATATGAGACTTAACTTCCTTTATTAAAACACAATAGTTACGCTTATTGCAAATAGTTCAAACTCTATTAACATGAAGAACAAATCACAGCAGCTCATCTTCAATGACTAATCTTTATCTCGCTTTTTGCAACATACATGGAAATACTTTCTTTGTTTTTAAGCTTTTTTTAAGAGACGACTCCTTAGGCTATGCCCATACACTGCTCTCTGGCTAGTGTTCTATTCCTAACTCGTATCTCTGTAACACGACTTATCCGGACACACACAAATACGGTGTTCTCCAGCACCACCTCCTCGAGAGAGCCACAAGGACGAGTAAACTATTACTTTGCCTTCCTCCGCGGTTTGGGAAGAACGGCCTCCGCAGGCGGCTCCATCTCGATGCCATTTTCATTCCGCAGTAAAGATGGACTGGATGGCTTCTCACTGAAGGACGTCTCCAACTCTGAAAATGGGATGCGTCACATGACCACAACGTAAAGACAGAAACAACACACGGCCTCCTGACCCTCGTAAGACTGTCAGTGGCACCAATTCTTTTCTACTAAAGCCAGTGCTAGTGTTTGAGACGGAGTCTCATTACGTAGGCCAGATTCATCTTCAACTGTCTGCACGGCCAACATATGCAGCTAGGATTAGATTTCTCAATGTTTCTCCCATATTTGTGGATATTAAATCTTGAAATTAGAGTATAGAGGTGTAAAATGTTTTGAATGAAAAACTTAGCCAGGTGTGGTGGTCATGCTTTTAATTTCAGCACTCAGAGGGCACACACAGGCCAGTCTCTGTGAATCTGAGACCAGCTTGGACAACATGTAAACCCCAGGCTGGCCAGGGTTACAAAGTAAGACCCTGTCTCAAACAACTAATCCCATGTCTCTCTGCTCCAGACTCTCTCTATGCAATCAGCGCCTGCGGTCCTCCAGGAGCACAGCAATGAACTAGCCAGGGAAGGCACTCCTATTAAGTTCTCCCCAGGGGCTAACCTGTGTCTGCAGGGCTAGCCTCGGATTTACTCCACTTCGTTAAGTCGGTCCACTGCCTCTTCTAATAAAGGAATACGCATTCTTAGATGAGAAACGGGAAAATCATGTTTCATTCTTTTTTTTTTTAATCTAATCACTGATAGCACTGGCAACTTTCCCCATTTTCACTGTGCATGTGTGTGCTTAGACCTATGTTCTGGGTTGAATTATGCTCCAGAAACACACATGTAACTTTTGTAAATAGAGTATTTGCATATTTAGACAAGTTAAGTCGAGGTCATGCTGGGTGAGGATGAACCCTAAATCCGATGACTAGTGTCTTGCATGAAGAGAGTCATGGAAACAGTGTAATGAAATAACGTGAGACAGGACAGGGACTGGCATGATGCTCCCACCGTCAACAGATGCTGAAGAGCATCAACAATCCTAGGGAAGGAGTCGGAGCTTCCTCTGGGCCACCAGCACACAAATAACGACGTGGAGACTGATTATTAATTATGAAAGCTTGGCCTTCAGCTTAGACTTGTTCCCAACTGGTTCTTATAGCTTAAATTAATCTGTTTGTGTTAATCTACGTTCTGCCATGTGGTTACTGCCTTGGTACTAAATGCTTTCTTCATCAGAGGCCTCTCTTCTTCCTCACTCTCCCCACAAGTCCCTCCTAACCTCTCCTCCTACCTATTGGCCATTCGGCTCTTTATTAAACCAATCAGAAGGCACTTTGACAAAGACACATCTTCACCGTGTACAAAAGATTACCCCACAGCTTTTCCCCCTTTTGTCTAAACAAAATGGAAAGGGTTTAACTCTAACACTGTAAAAGTATGCACAATAAGAACAGCTACCAGGTAAGAATTACGTTCACACTGTCCAGTCCATCTGTACTTGGCATATTCAGAGAAAACATTCTCTTATCTATCCTATCTTGATGAATCCAAGTTTTATACCTAAACCATTTTTTGTCACAATTTGGAGAAATGTAAAGCTAATATCCTTTCATTATATCAATTATTACAGCTGATTCTACTTAGACATCTAAACTGACTGAGGCAATTTATGCTTCTACTACTATACCTGTCCCATTAACACTAGATTTATTTTATTTTCATATTGTGGTCTTTTTTTTTGAGACAAGATCTTGCTTTGTAGCTTAGGTTAGCCTGGAGCTCATTATGTAGCTGGCCTATTCCTTGAAATCCTCCTGCCTCACTCAGCCTTGTGAGTGCTGGGATTACAGGTATGTATGATGCTCAGCTCAACACTAGATTTTCTAATTTAAAAAGCAAATAGCATTGCCGTCTTGATGTGCATGCATACACACATGCACACGTGTGTGTGCGCGCGCACTCAGCGTATTTTTGTTTACACAGAGAGCACTGCCTGAGTTACAGATACTCCATAAATGGTAGCTGTTGTGCTACGGAATACCTGTGCACTGTGTGAAGATGTGCTGCTGTGATTGGTGTCATAAAAGGCTGACTGGCCAACAGCTAGGCAGGAGAGATAGGTGGGACTCCTGGCAGAAGAGCGGAAGGGGAGATGCCATCGGGAGGTAGAATGAGTTGGACACACATCACGTGGTAGGGTGTAGATCAATAAAATTATGGTTAATTTAAGTTACAAGAGCTAGGGGACAAGCCTAAGCTAAGGCCAAGCTTTCATAATTAACAAGACTACATGTAATGATCTGCAGATGGCGATCCCAACAGCCCTATGCTGTTTCTTACTTAGATTACTGTTAATACAGAATTTGTCCTACTAATCTGAAATGTCCACTTCACTTACTAAGTTCTTGCATGCACTGAGATCTGAGCTTTCTCTTTTATGTCTGAATTTTTTACTTCTTCTCTCATATACTCCATGACCAAAGAGGCCTGAAAAGAATCCTGAAGTCACCGGAGCTGAAGTGGCGGTTATTTTAACTAAGGGAGCGAGAACCCACCTACGGGAACCCGAATACGGGAACAAAGCTCTAAATCACAACTCTGCCACAGTCTAACCAGGGTTTCCTCACGTACCAGGAGGCGGCCTGATCTTCTTCTGTCTCCTCGGAACAGGAGCCTCTGGGTGTCCCTTGAGCTCCGCAGCTGGTGGTTCACTGCTCTCAGATCGCCTATGGGCAACGGGCTCAGCAAGGCCTTCCGAAGAAGCAGGACCTACAGGAGAAAACCGGTCATCTTGAGCAGAGACCACTGAGTTAGAAAGAAGATGGGCAAGGACACCTGCAGTGTTTTCTGTGTATCAGCACCCTCTCTTTTCTGACCTGTGCCCTGATGACTTCATGACCCCCTCTCTAACTTTGGGCTTTGTGATGGGAAAGAAATAAATGTGAGATTAGGAAAACTGGGGACGAGAGGGCCAAAAGGAAGCCCCGCAGAATGAAGAGGAGGAGGAGGAACTGCCTCACAACACTCAAAACTGTTAAAAAATGCAAACAATTGAAAACTAACAGAACAGACAATGCTCCTGACCCCCACCCTAAGAACTCTACCACCTCTACCGCTCCTGCCTTCACTAGAACGTCAGCGCGTGGTGAAGTCATCGGGAATTGTTAACTGGAGGTAGCAGGTCAATTAGCAGTTGCAACTTTTCCCCTAATGAAACCTTTTAGCAGAATTTCAATATAATTTGGGAAATTTGAATCACCCTTAACCACCTTCTCTCGCCTACTGCCATTCCCTAGAAAATAAAAATAAAAATATACCGAGAACAGGGCGAGAGCTCTTAGCCTCGCTGGCCTTTAGAGGAAGGCCAGGTGTGGCCCGAGATGCAGGGGGGTGGGAGATCATTTGCACAGCACGTGGGGGCCTGGGCTCTCCTAGAACTGGGAGAAAGTGGCTGAGGAACACGAGTGGAAGATGAGCCACTTTTCCACTCCTGGAGTCATGAATATTAAAGACTGGCATTGCCCCTTTCTGCTAGGGATTTAGAGACGGTGGCACGCCCCTGATTTATGATGGCAGCAGTAAGAGAAGCTTCCCTGAAGACACGCTAGCAGAACCCAAGCATCAACAGTACACACCCTTCCACTGCTGGCTTTAGAAATAGACTACACACACTCACACACACATACACATACACACACACACACACACTCACACACACACACATACACACACACACATACAAATACACATACTCACACACTCACACACACATAGACACACACACACTCACACACACATACACACACATACAAACACACACACACACATACACACACTCACACACACACATACACATACACACACACATACACACACACACATACAAATACACATACTCACACACACACATACACACACACTCACACACACATACACACACACACATACAAACACATACACACACACACTCACACACACATACACACACACACATACAAACACATACACACACACACACACAGGTTTTTTGACTTCTGAGAGGGGTTAAGAAAAGGGTGAAGTTTAGGGGGTCAACTAACGATGACATTGAGGTTCTAAGCCCACTGGGAAAATACTGAGTAGTGAGAACTGACAACCGAAGGTAATGGATTCTAACTGTGTCGAGTCCTGGTTACTCATAGACCATCCAGGGTCACCAGTTAAGTGACTGAGGAGGAAGGGGTCATGACCCTGCTGTTACTAAAGCCTGAAAACACAGATGATTTGACCTGCCTTCAGGGTCTTGCTCTAACACAGAATAGGAAAGTTAAGAATCCCAGGTCTCCAAACCCATTGTTGTGTTCAAAGGTCTGGAACCAAACAGAGCTTAAACATACTTATGTTACCTAGGGACAAAAGACCTGACGGGCACAGCAATACTGTAAACATCAGACAGGGGCGGCACAATAGTTTATCCTATGAAGACGCCTACTCACTCTCCAGGCTGCCCATGCTTGCCTGCCTGTCCTCAACACATCAGTCTGGTACCCGAGAACCTGGGCTCTGTAATCGGTGATGCTGATCGTGCTCAGTTCCTGGGAAAACGTGCGATCTCCCACAACACAGGACATCTTACCTAACGTGCTTTTCGCTCTGGGTTTCTTCTTCTTAGGATGGCTAGGCGGTACATCTTCTATGGAGACAGAAAGAACAGCAGCGAGAATGGCAGAACATCAGCTGGAACGGAACTTCTGATAAGGAAGACGTTCCCCTCGCTTCTCTGGGACCAGCCAGCATTTACACAAGGGGGAGGGGGGGGAGTTAAGAAATTGACAGGGCCACTTGCCACCACGCACAGCATGGGGCCAGTAGTACACTGTCCCCCAGTGCTGTCTATAACTCTGAATTAGAAAGTGGGCGCAAGAGACGTCCACCTGGTCCCATACACTGTCCAGCCCCTTGTGCTGAGGTACAGACGAGACTGGTTCTGGCCAGGAGGCTGAACAGAAGTGATTTGTGTCTGTCTGCAGCACTGAGGGGCCTGACCTTGTTGACCTCAGAGGGTTAGCAGGGTGACACCTGTTCAGTACTAGGACGGGAGTGACGTGTGTCACCTGGAAGCCCAAACACCGAAAAGGCGGCTCCCCGTCAGGGAAGAGAGCTTCACAGTAGGACCACAGGACCACGTGACAAAAGCAGCCTAGATCTCAGCACATCGTTACCAAGACAACTGCTCTGAACTTTGCATGATAGCTTTGCAATTAACCTAGTAGGGCTTTTTATTTTTAAAAAAGAACGTTTATTCTATGTATACACATGTGCATGCGTGTGTGTGTGTGTAGACACGCACACCACAGCTTATATGTAGCGGTCAGAGGACAATCTGCAGAAGTCACTTCTTTCCTTCCGCCATGTGGGTTCTGGCCACCCAACACAGGTTCTCGGGCTGGGCAGGCCCCACTAAGCCATGCTGCTGGTACCACTTTGTATTATTTCTAACAACCTTGAGAAGATACTAGGAGAATAAAAATCTTGGAGTTATCAGTGTAGCATAAACTTGCCTACCCTGACTAAAGGAAAAAGGAAAAGTACAGTCTGATATAGCTCTCAGCAAGTGAAGGGGTACACTCTGGGGGCTGCAGAGAACAATCTAAACTATATGTCTTACATAATTTTAAAACAGCAGTCACGGAAGTTTGTAACAACAAATGGTTACTGTTGTTTTATAAACTACAGATTCCGATTCAATTCTAAATAGAGCAAACCAAGGAGTCAAATATTATATTATTGTTATTATTATTATTATTATTATCAGGCACGGTTTTGCTGTTACCCAAACTGGCCTTCAACGCCTAAGCTCAAGCAGCTCTCCTCACTCAGCCTGTAAGTGGCTGGCCTATCTGTGTATGCCCACCATCCCCAGATTCAACCCCACTGAGACAGGATCTCACTCTGCAGCTCACACAGGCCTCCAATTCAGAGTCTCCCTGCCTTGGCCTTCCCAGAACTAGGACTGGCATGGGCCACCACACCCATCTCCACGCTTGTCTTAGAACACCAAGGCTTAGGAGTTGTCACATCAATAGTAAACGAACTCACCTTGAATCACACTTCATGTGGCCCCAGCCAAACGGAATCAGCAGGACAAAAGAAAGAAATAAACTTAATTATTATTGGACTGAAAACTGACTTACGTCATCACAACCTTAAAAATATGACTAGCTTTCATATACTGTCAGTTTATAAACTAGTTTATTATCTGTAAGACGCATTCTGTTTAACAGAACTGCTAAAAAAAAAAAACCTTTTGAAAACACAAATACATATTCCCTGCTATCCACTAATTAAAGGGACTAAGCAGATTAAGGACACTGCTGGTTATAATCGGCTTCAGCCCTGATGGAACTGTTCCCGAAAACACAAGGGCATCAGGAGAATTCTCGTAAAGAGGGCACGAGAACACTCGAAACAGACCCATTATTCTATCATGCTCGATTAAGGATTTCTACTACATATATCAATTATTTCTCAAGATTCAAATTTAATGTTTGCCTCCAAACTTTTAGGGAGAATTTTCCTAAAAATTCCAGGAAGGTTCTTTTCCCCTGAAGCACTGTAGTTTTTCAAATTAATTTTGCTACTTATTTTTACATCTTTAAAGTTCAATAATGAAACGACTGTAAATTATTTTTACCTCGGCACAGGTGGCAGGGCTCGTGGAGGATGCTATAGGAGTAAGGGAAAGACAAAAAAAAAAAAAAAAAAAAACAAAAAAAAAACCTCATAAATGAATCAGTAATTCTCTTCAAATCTTTTGAAACTGTTTATCAGTGAAACTTAGGAGGTGATGTGTGTGTGCATTTAGATATGATGAATAACTATCTATATGGAATAAAAAGTGCTACTTTACTTAGGGAAAGTCTCTCTGAGGTTATTTGAGCTGAGACCTGCATAATAAAGGAGCCAACATGATGGGCAACAGGGATGGAAAGTTAAGGCTTTCAAGCAATCCTGGGCTCAGAAGGCTCCAGGTAAAGATCATCAAGGCTGAAGCATAGTAACCAAGGATGGCAATGCAACGCAGACGCTGGATTAATTAGGGCTTTGCAAACCAAGGGAAGGAATATGGGTTTGCTTTTATTAAGTAGGAAGCCAACTGAGGTCTAGTGCTTTTTAAAGAGTTATCTTAAAGAGAAATAGAAAACATATTTTAGAACAGAGAAGACTGAGGTTCGGGTATAATTTACGCTGCTCTGAGTAAGAAAAAAATCATGTTTGCAAGTTCAGGGAGCATTAGTTAAGAGCCTTCTGAAGCCTTTCAAAATAGAATACCAAGCACCGGAGAGACACCTCGGCCATTAAGAGCACCTGTTGCCCTTGCAGAAGTTCAGTTCGGTTCCCAGCACCCACGGAGCAGCTCGCAGCCATCAGTAATCCCAGGAAAACGGACAGCCTCCATCTGGCTTCTTTGACAACCAGGCACACCAGTGGTGCACACAGACAGATGTGGGCAAAACATCTTTAATAAATAAATAATAAATAAATACATCTTTAACAGAACTGAAAACTAACAGGTGCCTAGCAGTCAATTTAATATCGCAAGTATCTCATGCTGCTTACAGAGGGCACGGATTCCCAAGGCTTAAATGTTGGATGCACTTGTTTTTATCCAACTTAGCAATCCATTGTGGTCGTCATCCAAACAGATTCATGAAAATGATACAAGACCAGGACACTGAAGGAGGCCCTAATGCCACCGAGCGGGACCCAGCCCACCTAGTGGTCCACGTCTCACAAGTCCCGCAGAAACGACCCATCTCGCCCATCCCGAAACCGCAACCCGACGGCCCTCACAACCAGGATGGCTCCACAGACGACGGCAGTCCGGCCGCTCAGCAGTACCTGAGCCTCGCTAACCACCTGCTTCTTCCCCATCGCGTCTCCAGGGCCCGCGGCGGAGCAGCGGGAGCAGCACCCGCCCGCGCGCCCGCCCCGCCCACCCAGGCGCAGGCGCCGAGCGCCATCGAGCTGCGCCTCCCGCCGGAGCGTCCCAGTCCCTACGCGTCATCAGGCTGCGCCTCCAGCGGACGGTTTTTGGCGCTGCCGGGTCCGCACCCGCACTGTCCCTTTTAAACTAAGCTGGAAGGGGAAGCATCGGCATTGGGCCCACGTTCCCCGGAGCGGAGGTCGGCATGGTTTGTCCGGCGGGACCAGACCCGGATTCAGACGCCCCGCCGGCGTCGTCATGGCAACGCGGAGACGCCGGGCCCGGTTGCCACCCTGCCGGGGAGCTGTCAGAGGGGAGATCGCTAAAGCTGGGGTACCGTACCGGCAGACGTGGACTGGCCAAGCCCAGATTCCCTGCCAACCTAGAGTGTAATTCATAGATGCAGTTCTGACCGTTTCTTCCATGGGAACAGCCGTAAAAACGGGTTCTTAGCAACCACAACCTGTAGCCAAATCCCGTCCTACCTTACTGTCATGCAAAAACGACTTAATTTTCCCCGCATTTGCTTTAGACACGGTGTTCACGTTAAGAAAAGGACGAGCTTTTTTAATCCTTTGATTGTCATTTTATAAAGTGGCGTGCAAGAGGAAGACGCCAGGCGACAGAGTTCACTTGGAGGGGTTTTTATTAAGGGAAAGGGAATGTAAAAAGGGGGAAGGGGAGACCTGCCCGGGACAGGAGCAACAGAAGAGGGGAGCGGGGAGACAGAGAGACAGGCGGGCAGAGGAGGACGGAGGGGAGGAAGAGAGGGGAAAGGAGGGGGGGGAGAGAGAGAGAGAGAAGTTTTTTAAAAAAAAAAACTGGTAGCATGGAGGGAAGTGTGGCTATGAAGAAGACGAACAGACGGGGGTGCAGGGAATGCCGCTGGAAGTGACAGATCTAGGGAGACCAAGAGTCCTCATTTTGGAGTTTGCTCATATACAGGCCTCCAGAACTAGTCCATTGCCCCTTACTAAATTGGGCACTGATGTGAAGAGGCTGTTTGTTCGTCCCCAGCCTCCCAGAACTGAAATAATCACACATAAACTGTATTAATTAAATCACTGCTTGGTCCATTAGCTCTGGCTTCTTATTTGCTAACTCTTACATCTTAGTTTAACCCATCTCCATTAATCTGTGCATCACCACGAGGTCGTGACCTACAAACAAAGTTTCAGCAGGTCTGTCTCTGCTGGCGGCTCCATGGCTTCTCTCTGACTCTGCCCTTCTTTCTCCCAGGATTCAGTTAGTTTTCCCTGCCTATCTCTGTTCCCATATAGCTCTGCTATAGGCCAACAGCAGATCCCTTATTAACCAATGATATTCACAGCATACAGAGGGCAATCCCACATCACACTGATTTGGAAATGACATTGTCATAGGTTCCCTTATTAGATGTGTGCATGAGCCATTCTTGCTGAGTTGGTCAACTAGGCACTTTTGTAAAACACAAACAGAAGACAAAATACCTTAAAAGTAAAATACAGTTTCAGCCATTAACTATTGTCTGATTTATTTAGAGGAAACTTTCAGAAACTAAATCTCACAAACACCATATGAAATCTGTAATTCTCACGTGAATATTGTCACATTTAGAGACTTAGCATTATTCACGTTCCTACCTTCAGCTCATATGGGGAAATGATGGAAAAACTTGACTGAGCCAAATGAATAGCTCCATGTAATTATACAATGCTATTTATAGCCATACAGTAAGCGGCAGTGATGTGAGATTCCCCTCTGTTTGCTGTGAATACCATTGGTTGATAAGGAAAATGTCTTGGGCCCACACAGGGAATAGAGGAAGGCGCGGGGGGGGGGGGGGAACTAAACTGAATGCTGTGAGAAAGAAGGTGGAGTCAGGGAGAAGCCATGTAGTCCCGCAGAAACAGAAGCTGGAACTTTAGCCAGTAAACAACAGCCTCATAGCGATACACAAATTAATAGAAATGGGTTAAATTAAGATGTAAGAGTTAACAAATAAGAAGCTAGAGCTAATGGGCCAAGCAATGATTTAAATAATATGGTTTCTTTTCTTTTTTTTTTTTTTTTTTTGGTTTTTCAAGACAGGGTTTCTCTGTGGTTTTGGTGCCTGTCCTGGAACTAGCTCTGTAGACCAGGCTGGTCTCGAACTCACAGAGATCGCCTGCCTCTGCCTCCCGAGTGCTGGGATTAAAGGCGCGCACCACCATCGCCCGGCAATATAATATGGTTTCTATGTGGTTATTTTGGGTCTGAGCTGCCGAGCAGCCGGGTAATGAACAGGTGGCCTCCTCCAACATGGCAACAGTTGCAGTTCTAGTGGGTCAAACACTGCTGTTTTCAATTGCAGCTGCTACACGGGGTCTTTAGGACTTGATTAAGACTCAGTGCCAGGAGAAATCCATTCCTCTGGCACCCACTGCAGTTCTTCCTGTGCCTTCTGTACGGCAGACAACAGCTGGGCACATGCATCTTGCAAGTTGTCATTCACAATCACGTGATCAAAAAACTGGCCAAACTGACTCTCCATTTTTTGGGCTAAATCCTCCATCTCTTGTAGGTCTTCATCCTTCAGGAGAGATTGAGAAATATGAATAGAACAGGCAGTAAGACACCAGGTTGTTAGCTGTGGTGGCGCACGCCTTTAATCCCAGCACTTGGGAGGCAGAGCCAGGCAGATCTTTGAGCTCAAAACCTGCCCGGTCTATAGAGTGAGTTCCAGGACAGCCAGGGCTACACAAAAAAACCTTGTCTCGAAAATACATACATACATACATACATACATTCATATACACACACGTGTGTATATGTAGTAAAACTATATATACACATAAGTATAGTCAAGACTACTAAACTGTATACAAATTTCTAAAATGTATACACTATTTACTGTGTGTGTGTGTGTGTTGGTACACTCATTACAGCATTTTAAAAATAATTCAAAAATACAAATATGCTTATAAACAATTTGTTTGGCTTTGCAAATTGTGGCTTATGAGTCCTTTTGTTAAGCTAAGAAAAAGCATCACAGAATTTATTAAATCTTATTTTAATATATGTAATTAGTATCTAATAAAATTTGTTGGTGATTTAGGGTGTTTTTTGGTTTGGTTTTTTGTTTTCGTTTTTCAAGACAGGGTTTCTCTGGGCATCCCTAGCTGTCCTGGAACTTGCTCCATAGACCAGGCTGGCCTTGAACCCAGGGATTCACCTGCCTCTGCTCCCAAGTGCTGGTAGAGTTAAAGGCATGTGTCATTACCATCTGGATAGAAAGGATAACTTGTAAAGACGTTACTCATTAAAACCTTCAAAGGATTCTGTGGAAATAACTAATTTTTTTAAAAACCATTTTATTGACGTGCTCCTGAGGAGAGGGTCATACAAAGACAAAAACGGCGACACATCCTCAGTCCAGCCTGACCGTCCTTCCACCTAGCCATGACTGAAAGTAAATACCAGGATTTCTACTTTATTTACCTTGAATTTCACGTCCACAAAGTAGTCAGTAATTATCTTAGCATTTTTCCGAGACTGCTTCATGAAACTCATGTTAGGTGGCTTAATAAATATGACATAGGGCTTCAGTTCATGAGTCCGAGCCAACTGAATGTCCTGCACAGAAAAATCAAGTGCACAGTTAGAAGACAGATGTGGGCCAGCAAGAAAGCTCAGCTGGCAGAAGCACCTGCCGTGCAAACCTGCTGAACCCAGTCCAATCCTTGGAATCCACCACAGAAGATAGAACTGATTCGTGAAAATCGTCCCCTGGCTTCCACACAGCACATTCAAATTCTAGGTATACATTTTTAAAAATTAAATATAGAAAGTCCTAGCTTCCTGTAGTCAGTGTGATCATAGTCTCATACATCCCTGTCCTCAGTTATAAAATCAAAACAATTTAACAACAAATATGGCTCTAGAACCAAAATTAAATTAGAATCCTGGCCTCTCCTCTTCCTAGCTATGACTAGCTATTGAATTATTGAAATAAATGTTATACATGACAAAATGCTATTTAGTGAGAGTAGACTCCTTTGCATGACCTCATGTGACAAAATCAAAGAAAATTTCTGGAAAGGTCCATTTGCCCTCACTTCCCTTTCCTCTAGCTAGCAGCTCTCATGGGACACCACGTCCATCTTCATAACCCCCAACTCTACTCAAGAAAGAACAAATCGCTTTCCCCCTGTTGTCTTTAGCACACAAGTATATCGTTAAATAAATAAGGAAAATGAAAGGATCAAAAAGCTGGGCCTCCACAAATACTGATCAAACCTCAGCTCTCTTCACGTGTGGTTCAGGCGTGTAACACATTTATGCCAACACCGAGCATCGTCTTTTGCTTAAAGCAATATCCTCCTCCACAAGAGGTTCCCTGGACAAGTTTGTGACCACTGTCAAAGCAAGAAAGACTGGGACTGGTTTTTTAATGGCTGTCCACCCAGGTCCTGGTTCTGGGTGTGAGAAATAAGACTTCCTTTCCAACCAAAAGCAAAACGTTGCCAATTTACTTTCTGAGGAACAACCTGGCCCTGAGATGCGAGAGGTAGCCTTACTCTTAAAAGTCTATCTGAACAAAACGTCTCAGTTACTGTCTGGGGCATGCGCACATGCATCTGTGACTTTAGGGTGATGGAAAATGTTCTACACAGACCCACCTGAGGCTCCAAATCCATGACACAGATCTTTCCTTCCGCAAGGACAGCACGCACAGCATTCACGGTAGTTCCGTACAGGTGGCCTTTGTACTCACCATACTCCAGCATTCTGTGAGAGCAAGACAGAGGAAACGATTCTCCACAAGTAAAATATTAGCAGTAGTACTAGGATCTGTGTTTGTTGGGTTTTGCTTGTTTGTCTTGTTAATTTGACTAAGCTAGATTCACCTAGGAAGAGAATCTCAGTTGAGTGATGGCTTCCATCAGGTTACCTTTAGGCAAGTCTGGGAGGGTGTTTTCTAAATTAATAACTGACAGGAGGGCCCAGCCTGCTACAGGTGGCGTCACTCCGAGCAGGTGGTCCTGGGTTGT